CAACGAACAGCTTGTACGCTTAAGTGGTGGGAAGCCTCAGGCCAAACAACATATTGGGGGGGTATGCAAGCCCCATCCATCAGCAGACTTCCTGAGTCCACAGCTGCCTCTAAACACAGCCCTACCAACCAGAGGGCCAGGACCAAGGTCTACCCAGCAGTTGGCAGGCACAGACTCCCACTGCCAGGCAACCTGTATAAGCACCTAGTCCAGCTTCATCTACAGAAGGCAGATAACCAGAAGTTAGAAAACAACAATCCCAAAGCCTGTGGAAAGAATCTGCAAACACAGGCCAAATTCTACCCCAAGACCGGCTGGACCTTGACCCTTGGGTGACAAGAGAGGAGTGTACTGCTGGGATACATAGGACATCTTCCACAGAAGGCCACCTCTCCAAGGTCAATAAATATAACTAACCTACCTAAAAAAAAAAAAAAATAGAAAATTAGATAATATGAAGCAGCAGAGGAGTATCTTCCAGGCCAAGGCACAAAATTCCAGAAGAAGTAAGTGATGAGGAGATAGGCAATCTATCTAAGAAAGAGTTTATAGAGTAATGATGGTAAAGATGTTCAGAGAACTCAGGAGTATACATACACAGGGGGAAGTTTTTAGCAAAGAGTTAGAAAATATAAAGAATACACAGAATTGAAGAATACAATAACTGAAATGAATAATACCCTCGAAGTAACCAAGAATAGACTAAATGAGGCTGAACGGATCAGTGAGCTATAAGGAAGATTAGTGGAAATCACTACCACAGAACAAAGAAAAAAGAAAGAAAAGAAATGAAGAGAGTTTAAGAGAACTCTGGGACAACATGAAGCACACTAAAATTTGCATTATAGGGGTCCCAGAAAAAGATAGAGAAAGGACCTAAGAAAATATCTGAAGAGACAATAACTGAAAACTTCCCTAACTTAGGAAAGGGAACAGTCACCCAAGTCCAGGAAGCACAGAGAATTCCACACAGGATCAACCCAAAGAGGAACACACTGTGGCACATAGATATCAAACTGACAAAAATTAAGGATAAGGAGAAAATATTAACATCCCAAAAGGTTATCAGATGATTTTTTTTTTAGCAGAAATGCTACAGGCCAGAAGGGAGTGGCATGATATATTTAAAGTTTTGAAAGGGAAAAACTACAACCATGAATACTTTATCCAGCAAGGCTCTCATTCAGATATGGAAAAAACAAAAGCTTAACAGATAAATAAAAGCTAAAAGAGTTCAGCACCACCAAACCAGCTTTATAACAAATGTTAAAGAAACTTCTCTAGGTAAAAAAGGCAAAGGCCACAACTAGAAAAAGAAAATTAGTTGTGAGGGGAGGAGGGTACAAATGCAGGGTATCTAGAATGCATTTGAAATTAAAAGACCAGCAACTTAAAACAATCATATATCTATCTATATGATCTATTTATCTATCTATATAGACTTATATACGAAAACCTAATGGTAACCACAAACCAATGTAACTCTACAGTCATCAAACCAGAAGAAAAGAGAACAAAAGTAAGAGAAAAAAAAAAAAGCAAACCCAAAACAATGAACAAAATGGCAGTATTAACGTATATATTGGTAATTACTTAAATGTAATTGGATTAAACACTCCAAAAGACATAGACTGGCTGAATGGATATTAAAAACAAGGCCCATGTATATATGCTGTCTACAAGAGACTCACTTCAGAGCTCGAGACACATGCAGGCTGAAAGTGAGGGGATCGAAAAAGATATTCCATGCAAATAGAAACCAAAAGAAAGCTGGAGTAGCAATACTTACATCAGAAAAAAATTGATTTAAAATAAAGATCTTTATAAGAGACAAAGAAGGATACTACATAATGCTCAAGAAGAAGACACAACAATTTTAAGTAAATATTCACCCAACATAGGAATACCTCAATATGTAAGGCAATTGTTAACAGATATAAAAGGAGAAATCTACAGTAACACAATAATAGTGTGGGGGACCTTAATACCCCACTTACATCAATGGATAGATCATCCAGACAGAGAATCAGTAAGAAAGTACAGGCCCTAAATGACACATTAGACCAGCTGGACTTAACTGGTATCTATAGACAATTCCACCTGAAAGCAACAGAATAAACATTCTTCTCAAGTACACAGGGAGCATTCTCCAGAATCGATCACATGCTGGCCCACAAAGCAAGCCTCAATAAAGTTAAGAAAACTGAAATCATACCAAGCATTTTTTCTGACCACAATGCTATGATGTTAGAAATCAACTACAAAAAAAAAAAAAAAAAGCAAAAACTGCAAACACATGGAGGCTAAACAATATGATATTAAACTACCAATGGACCACCAAAGAAATCAAAGAGAAAATAAAAAACCACTTTGGGACAAATGAAAATGAAAACACAACAGTCCCAAACCTCTGGGAATCAGCAAAAGCAGAGCTCAGAGGGAAGTTTACAGCAATACAGGCCTACCTCAGGAAAAAAGAAAAATCTCAAGTAAACCACCTAACCTTACACCTAAAGCAGCTAGAGAAAGAACAAACAAAACCTACAGTTAGTAGAAGAAATCATAAAGATTAGAGCAGAAATCAATGACATAGACTAGAAAGAAAGGAAAGTTCAATGAAACTAAAAGCTACTTCTTCGAAAAGATAAACAAAATTGATAAACCTTTAGTCAGACTCATCAATTACTTTGGGAGAGGACCCAAATTAATAAGATCAGAAATGAAAAAAGTTACAACTGACACCACAGAAATATAAGGGACCATAAGAGGCTACTATGAGCAACTACATGCCAATGAAAAGGACAACCTAGAAGAAATGGACAAGTTCTTAGAAAGGTACAATTTGCCAAGACTGGACCAGGAAGAAATAGGAAATACGAATAGACCAATTACCAGTACTGAAATTGAATCACTAATTAAAAAACTCCCAACAAAACAAAAGTCCAGGACCACATGGCTTCACAGGTGAATTCTACCTTTGAGAAGAGTTAACACCTATCCTTCTGAAACTATTTTTAAAAAACTGCAGAGTAAGGAACACTTCTGAACTCATTCTGAGGTCACAATCACCCTGATACCAAAATCAAAGTACCACAAAAAAAGATAATTACAGGCCAATATCACTTGTGAATATAGATGCAGAAGTCCTCAACAAAATACTAGCAAATCAACTCCAACAATCCATTAAAAGGATCATACACCATGATCAAGTGGGATTTATCCCAGGGATGTAAGGATTTTTCAGTATCTACAAATCAATCAAATACCACATTAACAAACTGAAGAAAAAAAACACTATGAAGAAAAAAAACACTATGATCATCTCAGTAGATGCAGAAAAAGCTTTTAACAAAGTTCAACATATATTTTTGATAACTTTACAGAAAGTGGGCATAGAGGGAACATATCTCAACATAATGAAGGCCATATATGACAAACCCACAGCTAACCTCATACGTACTGGCAAAAAGCTGAAAGCATTTCCTTTAAGATCAGGAACAAGATAAGGATGCCCACTCTTACCACTGTTATTCAACATAGTTTTGGAAGTCCTAGCTGTAGCAAGCAGAGAAGAAAAATTAACGGAATCCAAACTGAAAAAGAATTAAAACTGTCACTGTTCATGAATGACATGATACTATACATAGAAAACCCTAAAGCAGCAGCCAGAAAACTAGAGCTCATCAATGAATTTGGTAAAGTTGTAAGATACAAAATTAATATACAGAAATCAGCTGCATTTCTATACACTAACAATGAAGTTGCAGGAAAAGAAATTAAGGAAACAGTCCCATTAAACATCACCCCAAAGAAAATAGCTAGGAATAAACCTACCCAAGGAGGCAAAGGACTTCTTCTCTGAAAACTGTAAGAGGCTGATGAAAGAAACTGAAGATGACATAAACAGATGGAAAGATATATACCATGTTCTTGGATTGGAAGAATCAATATTGTTCAAATGGCTGTACTAAGACAATATACAGATTCAATGCAATCTATCAAATTACCAATGATATTTTTCACAGAGCTAGAACAAAATATGTTAAAATTTGTATGGAAACACAAAGACCCTGAATAGCGAAAACAGTCTTGAAAAAGGAGAATGGAGCTGGGGGAATCACACTCCCTGACTTCAGTCTATACTACAAAGCTACAACAATCGAAACAGTAGGGTACTGGCACAAAAACAGATTCACAGATCAATGGAACAGGAGAGAAAGTCCAGAAGTAAACCCACACACTTACGGTCAATTATGACAAAGGAGGGAAGAATATACAATGGAGAAAAGACAGTCTCTTCAATTAGTGGTGCTGGGAAAACTAGACAGCTACATGTAAAAGACTAAAACTAGAATATTCTCTAACACCATGTATAAAAATAAACTCAAAATGGATTAAAGTCATAAATGTAAAACCTGATACTATAAAACTCCTAGAGGAAAACATAGGCAGAACATTCTTGGAGATAAATCACAGCAATTTTTTTTTCAAACCTGCTCCTGGAGTAATGGAAATAAAAGCAAAAATAAACAACTGGGATTTAATTAAACTTAAAAGCTTTTGCACACTAAAGATACCATCAACAAAACTAAAAGGAAACCTACAGAATAGGAGAAAATATTTGCAAAAGATGCGACCAACAAGAAACTGATTTTCCAAATATACAAACAGCTCATACAGCTTAATATAAAAATAATTTTTAAAAAAAGCAATCCAATAAAAAATTGGGCAGACCTAAACAGACATTTCTCCAAAGAAGGCATACAGATGGCCAATAGGCACATGAAAAGATGCTCAACATCACTAATTATCGGAGAAATGCAAATCAAAACCTTAGTGAGCTATCACTTCACACAGGTCAGAATGGCCATCATCAAAGTCTACAAATGATAAATTCTGGAGAGGGTGTGGAGAAAGGGAACAGTGTTAGTGGGAATGTAAACTGGTGCAGCCACTATGGAGCACAGTATGGAGCTTCCTCAAAAAAACTAAAAATAAACTTACCATATGATACAGCAATCCTGCTCCTGGGCATATTATCTGGAGAAAAATATAATTTGAAAAGACACATACATCACAGTGTTCATAGCAGCACTATATACAATACCCAAGACATGGAAACAACCTAAATGTCCATCAGCATATGGCTGGATAAAGAAGTTGTGGTATACATATATAATGGAATACTACTCAGCCATAAAAATAATAAAATAATGCCATTTGCAGCAACTTGGATGGACCCCGAGACTGTCATTCTAAGTGAAGTACACCAGAAAAACAAAGAAAAATACCATACGTGGAATCTAAAAAGGACACAAATGAACTTACCTACAAAAAGAAACAGCCTCTCAGACATAGAGAATAAACGTATGATTACCAGGGGTTAAAGGGGGTGGGAAGGGATAAATTGGGAGGTCAAAATTTGCACCTCCTGGGGAGTGATGGAAATGTCTGCTATCATGAGTGTGGTGGTGCTTTCATAGGTATATACACCTATCAAAATTCATCAAATTGTACATCTGAAATATATGTAGTTTACTGTATGGGAATTATACCATAATAAAGATTTTTTAAAAAATAGAATCAGAAAATAGAAGCTCACATAATGGATGCTGAGGGGCTGGGACATAAGGCTTTCAAGGAGGAGTCAGCACCTGTCTGATGTGTATATGACCACTAGCCTCATCCTGTAAGTGCCAACAGGAGCTGAGAACTGGGGCCAACTGTTGCTGCTGGGAGGAGAAGCGATGAGAATTGCAAGCCAAAGGTAAAAAGGAAGGTTTTTTCCCCTCCTTCTGGATCACCTAACAAGAAGCCAGCTGGCAATGAAGAAATGCAGTTGGCAGAGCCCCAGCTCCCACCATAACAAAGCAGAATACAGAAAGGTGAATTAGCTGAGAGACCTAGCATACTATCCAGCACAACCATGTTACTCAGAATCTGCATGATACTCAGAAAAATTTAGCTACACTTGTAGAGTCATGCAGTCAATACTTGGCACAGTCCTAATTTGAACTCTGGGTTGTTCCATCACAGCCTGCCCCTCCCATGCTTCCTTCCCCTGTAGTGGTTTGCCTTGATGTTTGGGGGAAGTCTTCATTAGAATGCTATTATTAACAGTTTTCCAGCTGATTTTAGGTCTCCGTTGGAGCATCTAGCAGCATCAGGCTATTTGAGGCACTGGCCTTGGTTAGAAACCTCAGTCCTGGCACCTTACAACAACCTGGCCAGTCACAGGTCCCACTGGGTCTGCAAAGCTTTTTGAGATTGTGATTGAATGGAGAATCCTGTAGCATTGGCTCTGAGACCGAATCAGAGACAGAGACTTGCTCATCTCCTCCGGGATTCACCGCCCACATCGGGAGTGGGGCTTACTCATAAAACACTTCACTTTCCATATAACGCAGTCTAAAATACCACATATAAAAGTAGTTTTTGAGAGTGATGTCTTACTTTTAAGGGAGTGCTCTGGCTAACTTACATCTGCAATGCTGGAAGAATAGGCTGGTGTAGTTTTATTCTGCTTGTGTGAGTCCCTACGCGCAGCTAAATGAGCATGCATTTCGCCAGTGGTCTTAAAATATAAGAGCAGACAAGTTTTACCTTAGTTGCTTTTTTGTATGAAACACAACTTCAGACAACTTGAAATACTCTCATTGGAGAAATGTTAATGAGTGGCCTTGGCATCTAAGAATCATTCTTAAAAATTTCCCACTCTCAAGGATTCTTTTTTCCTAAGTGCTGTTCTCAAGCAGTAAATGGAAAAATCATAGTATCGGAAAGGTTACATTACTTACTGGATCACCCTTATTATGGTAACTCTAAGAGAAATAGTAAGTGGTTTAACAATTGCCCATTTATAAATGTGAACGTTTAAAAGGAAACACAGAGGTAGGATTTCAAGTCACAGGGAAAATTTTCATAAGCAATAACATTAGTCAAAATGTGTTTGCCTTCACAGTAGGTGGAAATGTGTGTGGTAGAGCATTTGAGACAAGAACATGTATTCAAGCCACATACATTGGACATTTTCAGTCAAAAGAGAAAACAGCTATAAATCAAGTTGAGTATTTACTATTTTAATGTCACTACAAAGTGATTTCTCAGAAGTGATCCCAATTGCTGCTGTATAGAATTTTTCTGAACTTTTTGTTGTTGTTGTTGTTAGAGTCAATACCTTGATTTGTTCCAAGGAATAATATTTACTCCAGGAAAACGCTTCTTCTCGTCATCTTTCCAAAACCTACCAAAAGCTCTTTTAGAGGCTGTTTTCTTTTGGATTTCTCACTGAGCCACCTACTCATTGGAGGAAAACTACTTCAACACCAAAACCAAACAAAGCCAATTAAGAGACACTGTGGCTGAATGGTTGGTCTCACTGTCTGGAAGATCGTGGTTAGTCCAATAAAGCCACCAACTTGCACAGATGCCTGAATAAAGATACCTTCCTTTCCAGTACACTGTGGATCTGACTGACTGGGCCAAGTGGCCATACTTAAAACTCTATGAACTACCGAGATCCCCACCCAATTTTCTTTTTAACCACCCAGGGAGTATGGTATGAGTTTGTTAATTAGTATTTGTAACTTACATCAAGAGTCCAACAGGAAATAAATTCTGGATACAAAGTGCTGAAAGTAAGGGTGTTCCCATAAGAAGTTTATATAAAACTCTGTCATTTCAAGTTGTTTTCCTTTTTTTTTTTTTCTTTAGCTCTGGACAAGTTTCCTCTGCTGGTACAGGCATTTAAAAACTCACTACTATGATTATAATGTTGCCCCACTACTTTATATTTATCTTGTGTGGTCTGTAGCTGGACCTCCTGTAGTTTTATGGAAACAAGCTCAAAATTAATCTTATTTCCTGTACACAGTCCAAACTGCACACAGGTCAACTGAGTGATGAGATGAACGGAATGAAGAACTTTTTATCAGGATTGTGAAATCTTAAGAGAACAGACATTGTTTAAAGCAATGAAAAAAACTCGAAGAAAACAAATTACCGAGCTGGTTATCTTTCATAGAAAATCTATCTCAAAACAGGATTTGTGATCTCAGTGTATTATATACCAATAAATAAATTTGGAGCAATCTGCATTTTCACAAGGCTGGACTAAAAATTGGAAACCACAAGGCTATTTTATCACATGCAAACAAAGTAAGTGCTTGTATCCATGTGTGCTTTCACATGCCTGCAAGTAAACACACACACATCAATAACCTACAGTTAATTATCATTATAAAACTAACACACCTTCATTATTAGAGGAGTTGACATAGTTCTGGCCTCTTACATTGTCAGCTTTTCAGTGTGCATAAAGCATGCCAAGAAAAGAAAAAGCTAAACACACACATACACACCTCTGAGGTCATGGTTACCTTTGATCAGGGCTGTTGCAAAATACCCAAAGCACTGAAAGAAACCATGAAGTTTGAGAAACATTTGTAGGTTCTGACAAGCTTCCAAGCTTCCTGGTGGGACTACTTTGTGTTTTTTTCCATCCTGCCGGAGGACAGCAGTGGTTTATGGACAATCTCCTAAGCAATTAGAATTCCATAATTCAAATTAATAACCTCATAAAACACTGCAGATTATGTACTTGGTTTTTTTAACCTATAAGTAAAGTATTATTCTGATAGCAATTTTGAAACTGCTTGGAATTCATCCCAGTCTGGCTAAAAATAATTTTTTTTGAAGTTAAAGACATTTGAAATAAAAAAGATGGCATTAAATGAGTTTTTTTTTAAATTTACAATTAGATTTTCAGATTAATAGGACATGAAAAATATTTGCTTTCACCAGTTTACTTTACTGGGAAGTAAATGTTAAGGTCAAGTTTTTCTCAAGCTGACCTTTTCCAAGTAGAAAGGGGGAAATGGCAGGAGGAGGCAAGAACACAACTTCATTTTCTCATGTTCCTGTTATGCGTCATCACATTGTCCAGTGAAATGAATGAGTAAATTAGGTTTTTGGTTTCATGCGCTGGATTATGTGTTTTATATATTTCCCTCCTTTTAATTTAGTAGGGCAGTTCTTTCCATTACAAGATGGGTCTCATTAAAAGAAATGTTATTACGGAACTGTGTGCATTAGGTTTAATCTTCACTCAATTTAAAAAGAATACTTGAGAGACTAGTGCATTGAAGCACAAGAAAATGATTAGTTGGGGTTCCTTTTAAAGAGAGAAGCCAAATGTGTGAGAAGTGGTGCCTCCAGGGCAAATAAAACACTCACATAGTCGGAAATGGGGGTGCGGGCTTCGCATTAATGACCCGCACTGCTCTATTTTCAGACCTCCTGCCTTTTTTTAATGACCACTACTCTTTTTCTTGAGACAGCAGACAAGAAGCGCTAGGGGTTGCGGGAGGAATGAGGCTTTGGCCCGGCTAGAACAAGACCTGTCGAGGGATGCTTTTAAGGGTTTCTTATATTCTCTCACCAAGAGGAAAGTCTGTTACTAAGGTGCTGCATCCGGCTCTGTTTGAGCCTTTCCTTCG